CTCTCTCTCTCTCTCTCAAAAACAAATAAACTTTTAAAAAAATGTTTTAAATGCCTAAAAATTCTAGCTAGAGCAATCAGGCAAGAAAAAAATAAAAGTATCAATTAAAAATGAAAAAGTAAAATTGTCTCTATTTGCGGATAACATGGTTTATATATAGAAAATCCTACACACTCAAAAAATATTAGATTTAATGTATTTAGTAGAGCTGCAACATACAAAAGTGACATATAAAACCAGTAGCATTTCAATACACTAACAAAGAGTTTTCTGGGAAAGAAATAAAGAAATTGATCCAACTTACAATAGCATCAAAAACAATAAAATGCCTAGTAAATAATTTAATCAACAAGAGGAAAGATCTCCACTCTGAAAACCATAAAACACTGGTAACAGAAATCAAAGAAAACACATTTGACAGGAAGGTATCTTGCATTCATGGGCTGAAAAAATTAATACTGTTACGTCATTACTACCAAAATCCAGCTATAGATCAATGCTATCCCTATCAAAATTCAGTGGCATCTTTTATAAAAGTAAAAAAGCACATTTAAACTTTATATGGAATAACAAATGATTCTCAATAGCCAAAGAAATTCTGAGAAAGAACATCAAAGCAGAATTTACCACACTTCCTGATTTATAGTTTACTATAAAACTATAGTAATCAAAACAGTATGGTACTAGCATGAAAGCAAGCAAACCAATAAAACAAAATCAAAAGCTGAGAAATAAACCAAAGCATTTTACGGTCAACTAATATTTTACAAGGGTGCCAAGAATACTCAGTGGAGAAAAGACAAGTCTCTTCAGTAAATGGTGCTGGGATCACTGGATATTCACATAAGAATGAAACTGAAACCCTATCTTATGCCACTCACAAAAATTAACTCAAATGGATTAAAGATTAAAATGTTTAAGACCTGACACCATAAAACTCTAGAAGAAAACTTAGGGAAAAAACTCCTGGACACAGTCTTTGGAAAGGACATTTTTTTGGATAGGACACCTCAAGCACAAGCAACAAAATAAAAAATAAACAAGTATGACTACATCAATCTAAAAAGCTTCCATTCAGCAAAAGAAACTATCAATGAAATGACAACCTGTAGAATGGAATATTTTCAAACAAACATATCTGGTAAGGGTTTAATATCCAAAATATATAAAGAACCTATACGACTCAAAACACACATACCCATACACACACACACAATGCAATTTAAAAATGGGTAAAGAACGTACACAGACATTTTCCCAAAGTAGATATAAAAAAGATCAAATACATGAAAAGATGGTCAACATCACTAGTCAGAAGGAAAATGTGAAGTAAAACAACAATGAACTATCATTAGAGGGGTCATCATCAAAAAGACGAAAGATAACAAATCTTGCTACGGATGTAGAAAAAAGGTAACACTTGTGTATTCATTGGGGGACTGCAAACTGGTAGAGAGACTATGGAAAACAGTATAAGGTTCATCAAACAATTAAAAATAGGACTACCATATGATCTAACATTCCACTTCCAGGAATACATCCAAAGGAAATGAAAACACTAACTCAAAAAGATTATCTGCACATCCACATTCATAGCAGCATTATTTACAATAACCAAGACACAGAAACAAACTAAAGTGTCCACTGATGAATGAACAAAGAAGAAGTGAAAGAGAGAGAGAGGAGAGAGAGAGAGAGAAGAAAAGAGAGGAGAGAAGAGAGAGAGGGAGAGGGAGAGGGAGAGGAGAGGAGAGGAGAGGAGAGGAGAGGAGAGAGAGAATATGGAATACTATTCACCCATTAAAAATAAGGAAATCCTGGGATGTCTGGGTCACTCAGTCGGTTGAGCATCCAATTCTTGATTTCAGCTCAGGTAATGATTCCTGGGTTGTGGGATCAAATCCTGCATCGGACTCCACACTGAGCATGGAGCCTGCTTGAGATTCTCTCTCTCTCCCTCTGCCCCTCTCCCCTGCTTGTGCACTCTCTCTCAAAAAAAAAGATAAAATCCTACCATTTGCAACAACATAGATGAAAGTTGAAGGCATTACACTAAGTGAAGTCAGACAAAGACAAATACTGCATAATCTCACTTATATGAAGAACCCAAAAAACACAAAACCCAAATTCACAGAAAAAGATATCAGAAATATAGTTACCAGAGGCAGAAGAAAGAGAGGGAGTTGAAGGAAGGGGGTCAAAAGGTGAAAACTTCCAGTCACAAGATAAATAACTACTAAGGACGTAAATATACAACATGATGATGATAGCTAACACTGCTGTATGATATACAAGAAAGTCGTTAAGAGAGTAAATCCTAAGAGTTCTCATCATGAGGAGAATTGTTTTTTCCTTTTCTTTTCTTCATTCTTTTATTTACATTGTATCTATATGATAACAAATTGTCAGCTGAACCTATTGTGATAATCATTTTACAGAATATGTAAATCAAACCATCCTCCTGTATATCTTAAACTTATATGGTGATGTATGTCAATTATTTCTCAATAAAAGTGGAAGAGAAATAAAGAATAAAATTAAAAAAATGCCTTTCAAGAATCATGATCCCTGGGGAAGTTTTACCTAATTCTTCCTTAGTAACTGTCAAATCTTTCTTTTAACATGTATTTAAATACTTCTACAACAGAATTTAGCAAAAGGCATTGAATTGCAGGCTTATTTATTAGTTGCCAATACTAGTATATGAGCATCTATAATTATTTGCCGAGTAAAATAATTTTAGGAGTATTTAATGTCAAATGAAGTTATTAAGACCCTATTCTCCCTCTTCTGTAATGTTAACAAGGCAGACACTGGTTCCTGGTTACTAGTTCAAATACTTCCCCAAGTGATAGCATCAGTCTCTCAACACTAGCCAGAACACTGTAAAGAAACATTCCTAAAAAATAATTTTGCTCAGAATACAAATTCAAATGGCAGCTAAACACACCTTTTAATCCATTCCCTGGGTGTTTAGTCCTATTAAACCAAAATCCACTCCCACAAAAACAGACACAATGTAGTCCACTCATCATTTCCTCAATTTACTTTTAGCTTTTAATTCTCTCACTCTCTTCAATCCATTTTCTCCCTTGTAACTTTCTTTTAATCTCTGTACTTACTTCACTTTTCTGTCTTACTAGTAAATTTATTTTCCTTGAACTCATCTATCTCTGCTCTTTAAAAGGAAACATTACTTTCTCCCTCTCTCTACTTTTTCATCACATTGCAACACAGAACAAAACTTGTTCTCCCTCTCCTTTATGACCGGGCCATGACATAAGAAAGATAACATAGACATCTAAGTCTGATTATTGGGCTCCACAAATATAATTACATTAATAGGAAGTCAAAGTAGGTGTCTGTTTTCCTTAATTCTGCTAATAAAATCACTAGTTTACTTTTGCCAAATTCAGCCTTACCATTTGAAAAATAAACACCAGATTTTCATCATAAAGCATGTAACCATGAAGAAAACCATAAAATAATTAAATATTGACATATTTGTAATAATTAAGCTCCACTTTATTACTGACCACAAAAACAATACAGTCCCTAAAAATATAAGTTTCAATGGCAAAAACAGAGTAAGATTTTAAGGTAAAATATAAATGGATATAAAAGAGATTACCTTCCTTCATTGACAAGTTCAATAAAAGCAAGGCCTGCATTCTTCTGGATAGAATTCTGCCACTCCTAAAAAATAAAAACAAAACAAACAAGAAAAAAGGCAGAAAAGAGCTGAACAAATAATACTCAGTAGATTAATTTTTTAAAACAACAATTATAAAAAACATCACCCATATCAATTTCATACCTTAGCCCTTAAAAGGAAAAGTTTGGTTAAATGTGCTGCCGACCCAATGCAGCCCTGTGAACACATGAATAGTTGATATTCACAATTAAGCTAAACAAGTTAGCAACAATTTGATTCTATATAAACCAAAAAAGCCTAACTATATTTATCTTGACCTTTTTGTTTTACATCATTATATACTACTAAATCAACTGAAACAGTTATGAATTGGAAAGGAAGGTAGCACAGACCAAAGAGAGAGGTTTTGTGTCTTTAAGAGATGCATCACCCCAAATGAGAGACAAAATTAAATAGTGTGGTATACTAATAAACAGCACACACCCAATCACAAAAATTGATGATTAATGACTGAGAAAGGGACAAAAAAGATCAGTGAATTTGGCTAGATTACTTCTGAGCTGGAAAACTACAGTTCACTAGGCTATGAGTTAGCAAAAGATAGTATAAATCTATTATATTCTTTATGAATAATTATCCTTGAAAAGCCTAGGAAGGAAATAAATCAGGAGAGTATATACAAATGAGTATTTTTTAATCTTCATCTCCAACCATATGTAAAATAAATATTAATCCAATAAGACTGGGCCTACAACAATTGAAAAGTAGCTAGATTTGAAAAACGTTTATGTACGTGCCCATGTCTGTATGTGTATGTGAAAAGCTGGCAGAGTCAAGAAATGCCAAGATATGTATGTATGTGCGTATGTGTATGTATATGTATATCTATTTTTAAAGAACCAGAAATATATCATCTTTATGGTCCTTAAAAAAAAGGAGCCCTTTACATTCTACCTACATAATATACCTCAAGTGATCTTTTTTTGTTTTATAAACTCAAAACAAAAGACAATATTTGGCTACTTACCATTACTACCAAATATATTCATATGTTCTGAATGTAATACCATTTAAGAGTTCTAAAGTCCATGTATTTTCACCTCTAATGACTATTCTGTGTCACTCCAAATTCCTATTTTTTTGGTGGGTGGCCAGGGTGGGGGGGTGCTCATCCTTTCTCTTCTACTTTCTCCTTTTTATCACTAATTTTATATTGCTTCCTGTTATGTTTTGAAAAACCCAAGGTGGTTCCTAGGACTGAAATGGTTGTATACCACAATTTTTGTTTTAAGGTTCTATTTCATGAATAGTGTCAGTAAGGACATACTAACAGAACATATATGGTAGAATGAAAAGTAGATATAAAGTTACTTAGAAATCTAGCAGTAGTTGGGGCGCCTGGGTGGCTCAGTCGGTTGAGCATCCGACTTCGGCTCAGGTCATGATCTCGCGGTCCGTTGAGTTCAAGCCCCGCGTCAGGCTCTGTGCTGACCACTCAGAGCCTGGAGCCTGTTTCAGATTCTGTGTCTCCCTCTCTCTCTGACCCTCCCCCGTTCATGCTCTGTCTCTGTCTCAAAAATAAATAAACGTTTAAAAAAAATTTAAAAAAAGAAATCTAGCAGTAGTAATTGACTAGATCTAGGAGAGAAGATGAAGCAATGTGCTGTTAAGAGCCATGAACAAGAAGCCATGAGATCTATATTCTCACACTGATTCTGACACTGACAGGATATGTCCATGGACAGATCACTTTACATCTCTAGGTCTTAGATACTCCCTTAAAAAATTAGCTCTATTATTTTAGGATTCAGTAACTTACGAACATTTTGAAATGACTCATGAGCCTACAGTCTATAATCTCTCAAAATTCACGATTACCACCCAGCTGAAACAATAAAGATCTCGTATTTCCTTCACTGAGGTAAACCAACTCAAGCATAAATAGGAATACCTCATAATTTAAAACCCTTTTCCTTCCAGCAAAATAAAACTGACAGCACAAAGCAATGAAATCAAATTCCATTAAGAAGTAAATCCCTAAGAGAAGAGCATGTGTGGAATCCTCTACTCTTCTTAGAAATACAAAGAGGAAAATAGAAAAAAAGCAGAAACCACAGGTAAGGTTTTTTATCCTGCTGCAGAAGATCCCACACCTAACTTTTGAAGCACAGCAAAGGGAGATATCATGTCTAAAAAGTTGCCCTAAACCTAGTAATGTAGAGGAATAGTAGATAGAGACAGACATAATGGCCAGATAGACCTAAATTAGCCTTGACGTATCTCATGCCATAGGAGGAGTCAGAAAATTATCCTAGAAAGATGTACACTAAATAAGGCTTTGAGGGGATGAGAAGAACACAGCTAGACAGTAGGGAATCCTTGCTGATAGATAGTAGGGAATCAGAAGGGATGGTGACACCTCAGAGGATGCCACAGTCAAGGAACAGAACCATATGCTTACTTCTCAGGTGTTAGACCCAACATAGCACTATCAGCAAGCCGCTTAGAAATTTGATATAGCACCAGATTATGAGGAGGCAAGACCTTAAACTGAGTTTCCATTCAGATCATTTAACCTGAAGGAAAAGCTGAAAATGAAAATTAACCTTATTAAAAAGAGAATAAAGGAAATTACTTTTCTTGCTAGAAAAAAAAAGGAGGGGAGAAAAGCAAGAGAATACATTGTATGTATTTAAAACATTTTATTTTAAAAAGTATTTACTAGTATTTTTTTTTTCACAAATCCATTTTGCCTGATCTAAAACTACAACAGGTGGACATTTCTATCATATAGCTCATACAAAACTCACAACTCCACATGGATGAAATAGGTAACACTAGAGAGACTTAAATTGTAAGTAGACAGGTAAATATCAATTTGATTCTATTTTCATTAATGTATACAAACTAATCTTAATTATAAGGTAAAATCAGGAATATGCCATTTATATTTCACAAACATTTTTAACAGCATGATTCAGGTCATTAGAAAACTAGTTCAAGTTGGTACAACTACAGAAAATTCAACATCTAAAGATTTTTATGACATGAACTTAAATTGGTATGCCACATAAAATATTTCTTTTAAGTTAAAACAAATTAGACATGAAGGTACATATAAAAGCAGAAGAATCCAATTTTTACAGAAACTCAGAGACACAGATTTATTACTGCTAATACAGTAGATTTCTTGCTTTCCCAAACATCATCTATAAACCCAATCTGTTAACTTACAATAGCTGTTACCCAATCACCTGGAGTAAAATTTTTTCACTAGTTAAAAAATAACTAGACAATACAAGAAGTGAAAGTACAAATCTTATTTACACTTTTGGGTATAATTCATTCCTAACTGTAAATTATTAACATTTAATAAAATGTCACATACCAGGTACATCAATACATACTGATAAGAATTAATAACTCAGTTGTATTGTAATAGCATTGTAGGGTGAGAGATGGTAGCTACACTTGTGGTTAGCATAGTATAAAGTATAGAGTAGTTAAATCACTATGCGGTACACCTGAAACTAATATAATACTGTGTCACCTATACACCAATTAATTAATAACCCAGATGATAATAATCTGAAGCTGATAAGAATAGAAAATAATTTGAAAAAATTTTTTTTACCATTTATTTATTTTTGAGAGAGACGGAGAGACAAAGACAGACTGTAAGCGGGAGAGGGGCAGAAAGACAGGGAGACACAGAATCTGAAGCAGGCTCTAGGCTCCACGCTGTCAACACACATCCCAATGCGGGGCTTGAACTCACCAACCATGAGATCATGACCCAAGCTGAAGTCGGACGCTTAACTGACTCAGCCACCCAGGCACCCCAAAAATAAAATTTTTTAAATAAATCTAGCTATTAGTCAAAGCCAACAAGTTTTTTCCATACTAAAACACTGTCGGGGCACCTCGGCGGCTCAGTCGGTTAAGCATCCGACTTCGGTTCAGGTCATTATCCAGTGGTTCGTGGATTCCAACCCCTCATTGGGCTCTGTGCTAACAGCTAGGAGCCTGGAGCCAGCTTCAGATTCTGTGTCTCCCTCTCTCTGTCTGCCCCCCACCCAAAAATAAAATAAACATGAAAAATTTTTTAAATAAATAAAACACTGTATACAACCCTTTAAGAAAGTTGCCAAATCTGATAAGATTTCATTAATCATGCTATCCTAAAGCATTTTTTCCACTTCTGAGGCAATTATCAAAGAAGGTGTTAGTCTAAACAATATCATAAACCACAGCTCAATATAACCTTTAGTGAGTTTTAATAGTTGAAAGAAAAGCTTAACAGTTATCATCTTTCATGATGATTTCAATATTTCATCACAGTATTTACAATTATATAGTGATGCGAAATGCTAATACGTTTAAAGGTCTTGGTTATTCTTTTCCCAAAGGTATGGATGAAAAACGCGTTAAAAGCCTCAAATCCAACCACTAATGCAACTAAGTAATTTCAAAACACATTTCAGCACTTTGGAGAGGAAGGACTCAAAACACAACAAGTGAGTCAATAATTTCATACCTGTTCTAAGCTATATTTAATTGACTATCACTTCCTAAGGCCATAATTGTTGATTAGTCAATTTTTACTAAAATATACTCTTAGCTAACTAATGCTCTTAAGTCATGTAACATCAACAACAAAGAAAATATACATTAGTGAAATCTATAAAATATAGTGTTCTACCAAATTTCAAATACATGCTTTTGATGGTAAAAGTCTTTTCTTAAGTTGGAGTTTATTAAAAAAAAGAAAAAAGAGTTTACTTAATAACCAAATTTAAGTATATTCCTTCCTACGTCAACAAACAAATATAGAGAGAAGGGGCAACAATTAACATGCTACATATTAATTTATATTATTTTAATACAATTGTAACTTCTTTAAAGTGAACTTGACAGCTTTCTATAAATTCAATAACCCCCCCACACAACATATTTTAGCATTTGAATGTACTACGTAAATTTACCTAGATTTTAAAAGTAATTCCAAATAGTACCATGTTCTAAAGTAAATAAAGTCAGG